TGCCACCTCAAGTGTAACTGCTGAAAATGTCAGCGGTTAGTTACTTATATGCATTTTAACATCCCTAGGACAGACTTGTCAGCACCTAAACCAGAAGCAGTCAGCACAATCCAGTTGGGGACAGGAGGCTCAGAGCCAAGGCCCCTGTACCCTCAAACCACTGAGACTAACCCATCCACTCGGAAGCCCACCCCCACCCTGCAGTTAGCCCCGCCTTGGCCTTTGTCCAGCTTCCTGGCAAAAGGTGTCACCAGGTTACACCCCCAGCCCTTCGTAGGCTTAGGTTACAGAAAGCATCAGTCATTGTGTGCAAGAAAGAGATACGGAAATTCTCATCACTATCTCTTTTTAGGTATTGGAGCAGTGCCCAGGGAAACTGACACACACACACTAGGGATGTAAGCCACTAATCAAGTCACGCAGCAAAGGTGGGGAGCAGGAGCTGGTGCTGCAAGGAGATAGTTTAAAAGCTGGCTCCCTCTGGTAAGGAGGGGCAGGGCAGGAGAGGCAGAGGCGCAGCGGGGGACCGGGTGCAAGCCAGGACTCAGCTATCCCTGCTTGTACTTGGTCCCATATGCTGGGCCTTTGCCTCTTAAATGTATCAAGAGCCTAGTGGAAATTCCATCGACTACTCAGTTTAGCGGATTAAACGCAATTTAACATCCTTAACACATACACGGTTTATTGTAGGATAGTAGAAATCACATGCGACATAACAGTGGATACAGTTACCACTTTGTCACAGTGTTTAACCCATTTATTATTGTTTATAGAAGAGCAGAGGGTTTTCAAATGCTGTTATAAGGGACCTTATTTAAAGTGATATCCCAAAATCTCTTTTAAAAAATGCTTCATGTACATTTCAGAAAATGCATGGGAAGCAAAATGTGCATGCTGGTTTTGAGCTCTAATAGTGAATAAGACTTTCTAATAATCATACTGGTATGATAGTTTTGTTTAGTTGTATGCAGTGACAGTGTAGTTAAGTACTGTATGCTGGCACATAGCTCACTGATTTTTATTTATTTTTTTACTAAGCCTAGCTTTCAGCTGCACAATTTGAGTTGCTGAGATCTTATCAGTGAAAGAGACACATGCTTTGGTCTGCTGCAATACGTGCAGCTATGGGGATTGATGAGATAAAAGGGCCAGAGACAAATCATCTCTTCCCCCCCACACCCCCCTGAGTATGAGCTCCGTTTGCACTTCCTACCCTATGGGGATTTTTCCTTTTATCTCCTGAAGGAACTATGTATGCCATGCCTCTTGAGTCCAGACTGCCTGGTGGATGAAATGTCTGTCTGTCTGAGATTAAGGAGCTCGCCACCTGGTTTTTCAGCAACAGAACTGGCTAACTGCAATTTGAGTAGTCTTTAAACATGCGGAGCCCCAGTGCATATTGCCTATGTTTACAGGCTTCATGCGGCTCTGCTTGAGAGAGAGCTGGAGTTTGAGGAGTTACCAGCTGGAATGGAAGCTGTCTATCTGATGCCAAGATAAAACTAAACTTCCCCTACTTCCCTGCCCCTTCCTTCAGAGCCACCCTGCCCTTTATTTACACACTCACACCTTTTCTCATTAATGGCACTTTTTAAATTTGTCCAAGAACTAATCAAAATGTTTTGTGTATTATTTAAATCCTTTTTTAGGAAGCAAAGTAAACTTTGGCTCTCACTCAGTAATAATCCAAATAAGAATTAGCAGGAACATTAAATTTAAATTAGTCAAGTAACTTACCGTATTGTCTCATTGTTTAACCCTAATGGTTACACCCCCCACCCCTTGCTGCCTCTGTTTATCACAGGCAGCAGGGTGAGAAGGCAAGTGGAAACTGGTGTGGCTGTGTCTAGACTGGCCAGTTTTTCCGGAAAATCAGCCGTTTTTCCAGAGAAACTTGCCAGCTATCTACACCGGCCGCTTGAATTTCTGCAAAAGCACTGACTTCCTACTGTAAGAGATCAGTGCTTTTTGTGGAAATACTGTGCTGCTCCTGTTCGGGCAAAAGTCCTTTTTGCGCAAAAAGGCCAGTGTAGACAGCTGAGATTTGTTTTCCGCAAAAAAGCCCCAATTGCGAAAATGGCGATCGGGGCTTTTTTGCGGAAAAGCGCGTCTAGATTGGCCACAGACGCTTTTCCGCAAAAAGTGCTTTTGCGGAAAAGCGTCCGTGCCAATCTAGATGCTCTGTTCGGAAAATGCTTTTAACGGAAAACTTTTCCGTTAAAAGCATTTGCGGAAAATCATGCCAGTCTAGACGTAGCCATATATGTTTGGAGTCTCAAAACACTGCTGTCGGATGATGCCATTCCCTAAACTGCTTGGAAAATCTCAGTCTCATTATTTTGATTGAAACTGACTGGATAACTTTATGCCATATGCTTTGGAGTCTGAGTATTACTGGTATAAAAATGTGTGCCTAACTGAAAAAAGGAATAAACCATATACTGTATCTTAATTTAAAAAAATTTGGTTCAAAGTGGCTTTCTGGCCAAAGGTCGTCCTTATTTCATATAATTTGAGTATCTATAGTAAGCACTTTAGATGCTATAATTGTTTGATTTCTTAATGAATGATAATACTTTTTTTTTTTTAATGTAGGCGGCAGAGACTGCAAGTTTGGAGGAACAGTTGCAAGGATGGGGAGAAGTAATTCTGGTAGCTGACAAAATCCTTCGTTGGGAAAGAGCTTGGTTTCCACTTGTTTTGATGGGTGGTGTTTCCTTTGCTTTTCTGTAAGTGGTCAGAGGGGTTTGCATTCACATTTTCTAATAGCAAAAATTTAGTGAAACTTAGCAAGTCTTTACTTCTCTAATGATACATCTGTGCAGGTTTCTTACTCCAAGGCCTCTGTTTATGCAAAGAAAGCAGAACTCACCAAGCTCTAAACATTTCTTTTTCTTAGAGCAGGAAGGACACAAGGCACATTCCATGTGCACTCAAGCCAGTGGCAGCACTGAAGTATAGTCCAAGAAATCTCAAAGGAACCTTGCTACTGTGCTCCAGGTCTTTGTCAGCAATAATTTAATGCTGTTGCCAAAGCACTTGAGATCTTTGTGCTCAAAGTTCAGTCTGCTTTTTTTTTCTTAGAATGTCACTGTCTTAAACCTCTCAAGATGGGGTAGAATGTTATGCATCACTGAACAGATGCTCATCCAAACATTGCTCAGCACCGGTATATATGGGTATGTCTACATTTGTTCCCTAGTTCGAACTAGGGATGCAAATGTAGGCGACTGAAATTGCTAATGAAGCGGGGATTTAAATATCCTGCGCTTCATTAGCATGATCTCGCCGGTGTATTACTCCGTTCAACAGCTGATTCGAACCAGGAAGTGCGCTCTGGGATGCGTTACTTCGAGCCAAACCCCTTGGTTCGAAGTAACGTTACTCCTCAAAAAATGAAGTCCCTGCCAAAAAATGAGGAGTGCCGTTAGTTCAAACCAAGAGGTTTGGTTCGAACTAATGCTTCCTGGCATGCACTTCCTGGTTCGAATCAGCTGTTGAGCAGAGTAACACGCCGGTGAGATCATGCTAATGAAGCACAGGACATTTAAATCCCTGCTTCATTAGGAATTTCGGTCACCTACATTTGCATCCCTAGCTCCAAGTAGGGAGCAAGTGCAGACGTACCCTATGAGAAGAGCAGTGCCTTTTGTGGGTCAGAGGCTCTAGAGCTGGTCTAAACATAGTTCTTGATTTTTCCCTAGGGGAAAAGAAGCTATGCTGTTAGAATTATCTTTACAAGTGTAGTGGTATCTACACTAGGAAGTTCTGCCACTTCATCTAGAAATGTAGGGCTGGCAGGGACCTTCAGGTCATTCTGGTCCAGCCCCCAATGATGATCCAAGTGTACCTAGACTATTCCTGACAGTTTATCTAACCTGTTCTCATAAACTTACAGTGACTGGGATTTCATAATCTCCTTTGGTAATCTATTCCAGTACTTAATTGTCTTAAAGTTTTTCTTAATAGCCAACCTAAATCTTCCTTTTTCTAGATGAAGCTGATTTCTACTTTTCCTACCTTTAGTGTACATCAGTGGTCACCAACCAGTGGATTGGGATCTATTGGTAGATCTTGGAGCCTCTGACAGGTGTTCCTGACTGGTTTGGCCAAGAGGCTATCAAGTGTTGGCACTTCAGCTGCCCCTTCTCTCTGCTGCTATACATCTCCTCTTTGCCTTGGAGCTGCCTTCCCCCATCCCGGGGAGCCCCCTGCTTGCGGTACAGAGGAGGGAAGGGGAAGGAAGGGGTGCTGATACAAAGGTACCCCCTCTCCCACTCTGTATTGTATCACCACAGAGCAGGGTGGGGGGCACAACAGAGCTTGGGATGGAGGGAGTTCGCTGGCTGCTTTTGGGAGTGGTGCAGGGCCAGGGCAGGGGTGAGTCTGCCTTAGCTCCACTACACCGCCACATGAGGTAAGCAGTGTCCAGCCAGAGCCCACATCCTGAAACCCTACCCCAGTCATGTACCCCTCCTGCACTCCCAAGCTCCTGCCCCAGCCCTGAGCACCCCTGCATCCAAACACCTTCTCAGAGCCTGCAGCTATCACTCCCTATGGCACTCCAACAGCCTGCCCCAAGCTCAGCTCAGAGCCCCTCTCGCACTCCAAATCCCTTAATCCAAGACCCAACTCACTGCCACTCCCTGGTGAAAGCGAGGGAGGATGCATGGAGGAGGACAGAGTGAGCAGGGTCGGATCCTTGGAAATGGGGTACAAAGGAGGTGGAGCAAGGGTATTTGGGTTTGAGGTAGATCTTGGCTTGCACTTAAATTCAAAAAATTATCTAATGTGTAAAAAGATTGGAGACCACTGGTGTACATGGAGAATGAGTATGCACATAGTGATTCTTTGGTGCTTGGAAAATAACCCGCCTTTTTTGTAGGGGTAGAGTTACTACCCAGTTTCCTGCATTACTTGTCATTTTATATACAATTTATCACTTGGTTACTACCTGAAAACTAAAACTGCTATACTTTTCACCACATATGCCTTGTTTTGGAGTAGATAGTGGAAGATGGTTTCACTTTTGCATTTATTCTTTTTAATTGTATTCAATGCAGTGAGATTTCAGTGGAGGGTAGTGGCTCTGGGTGTCTTAAATTGCTGGAGAACTTACCTCTTTGAATTTGTTTAAAGCTAAATTTTGTGATGAACTCAGCCATTGTTTTAAATGCAGCAAACTAAAGAGGGTAAACTGACTGAATTTTCAGAAAGCCGGAAGGAAGGAATTTTTACATTGCCTTTTCTTTACAGGATGATCTACTACCTGGACCCTTCTGTTCTTTCAGGTGTCTCTTGTTTTGTCATGTTCATGTGTTTGGCTGACTATCTTGTTCCTGCTCTTGCTCCTCGAATTTTTGGCTCTAATAAATGGTATGTAAAATCAAAACTAGAAAAATAAACATGAGCAGTTGGCGGTTGACTCTAAACGCAGTGCACCCCTTGCAGAATGTGGGCAGGGAGCAAGAGGCTTCCCATGCTTTCCCAATCCCCAGGCCCTGATTGACCTGAGGGTGGTGAGAGCACAAAGTCTTCTCCCACCGCCAGGGGAGCAGGCATGTAGAGGGAAGCACCTGCTGTTCAGAATAGTTGGTGGTTCTCTCTGGGTGGGGGAGCAAAGACTTCACATGCTCCCTCCACCCCCAGGCCATCAGGGAAGTGTCCTGGCCCTGCCCCTTTATTGCACACCCCATCCTACTGGGCCAGCAGACACTCCTTTCTGACAAGGCGGGGGGGGGTCCTCCATATCTTCCCCCCTCCCCCCATCATGTCTGCTCTCCCCCTCCCCTGTGCATCAGCTGGCCCTGCCTGTTGCTTCTGGGTGATTTAACACCCCCCATGCCCCTAGTCTCTGGCACCACCACTGGTAGTGCAGCAGTAACGGTGGTGAAGTGGAACTATGCAGCAGCCTGCTCAGCTCTGCCGCCATCTCCCAGGCCAGCTAGAGCTGGAGCGTCTGCTTTCTGTGGTGAAGCAGAGCAAGGAGGCCAGTCTGGGAGATGGCAGCAGGGCAGAACAGAGGCTGCTGTGTTGTTCCACTTTCCCTGTGGCTCCTGCCACTACCGCAGTGAGGTTGGTACTGATCCCTGCTGGCAGCCTCCACCAGCCCCCTGGCAATCCGAGAGACTGTGTCCCTCAGAGGAGGGGGTTTCAGGGAAGGAGTGCAATGAGTGAGTGGAGGGGCAGAGCTAGGGGGGTACTGACACCCTCTCCCCAGGTGACTCATGTGCCAGCAGCCATGTGCAAGCCACATTGTGGAACTGTTTGGGCTGCAGATGGCCCCCAGGTCATGAGTTTGAGATCCCTGCTTAAGTTGAAATGAAACATTTGGTAGTGCAGCTGTTGTCTTCCCAGCTCTGCCTCATTCTAGCTAGAAAGGTCTCTAGTAATAGGCATGTTGTCTTAATTTGCTCTACTAATCTAATTTTTATACTGGGAGATTTTAGATGTGGCCTAACTAAAAATCTAGAAAGGGGTCTCATTGGTTGGGAGTCAGCAAGCTCACTCAGATAGAAACGGGTGGTCCCACCCTGCCCCTCTGCGAGACACTGCTGACTAGCTTACCCCCGTTTAATCCATTAACTAGCTAAACTTAATGTTTAACTGGTTAACTAGTTAAATGGGATTTTACATTCCTAGAAGCAACCTTACCTCTATTGCAAGGAAAACCAAGGGAATTGTATAGTGAATTTTAAAAAAAGCAAAATTTAAATTGGGATAACTGGCTAATGCCAGGGTAAAACCATATGACTGTTTAAAAGGAGAAAAATCTATGCAATGGTATCAGCTAGTGTGGTCAGATTTGGTAGCCAATATAACTTAAGTAGTGATGTGCATTTCGGGTGTATGCTCTTATTATGCAAGCCTTTAGAATTAATTGCCACTGAAAGCATAGTACACAATTTACAAGAGATTCACTGTAGAGTGAATTCTAAAACAAATTCAAAGTATACAGTCAATTGATAAATACAGTGAAACCTTTATGTGGCACTTTAACCGGCATTGCCCCCAACCACAATACTGTCTCATCTTCAGGTGCACAGTCCTGGCTTGGTTTACCATGATTGGTTTAACAATTTTTTATTTAAGAAGTACTAATCATCTTTAGCTCAAAATAGAAATGAGACCAACTGCCTCACACTACAAAACTATCAATATTAAAAACTTGAGTTTTACTATTATTGTCCATTGGTTTTTCCTAGGTTGATGGGATCCTCAGATAACCAGAATGTTTAGATAACTGGAACGCCCTAATCCCTGAATGTGCTGGCTAGCACAGGTTTTACTGTAGTGCCCAATAAAATGGGCAGTAATTTTAAGAAATATAAAAGTAAATAAAACTAAGGCCATTCTTCAATGTACATAACTATTAAACATCAGAATGAAGATCGCTGCATGTTCTGTATTTTTACTGAGAGCAGTGAATTTTATATCCTGAACTTTAAAGTGAACTTTGGATAATATCTTAAGCTCAAAATATTTCTGATTTTAGTAAATGTATTTAAAAATTTCTCCCCCCCCCCCTTTTTTTTTAAAAGGACCACAGAACAACAGCAAAGATTCCATGAAATTTGCAGCAACCTAGTAAAAACTCGTCGCAGAATTATTGGCTGGTGGAAACGTATCTTCACACTGAAGGAAGAAAAGCCTAAAATGGTACTTTGTACACTTGCTCCTGAGTTTTTATGTATGAGGAGTGAAGATAGGTGATGGGGAGGGGAAGTTGAAAAAATTACTTGTGATTCTGCTTTATTCATATTTAAAAGAAGGGTTTTGTCTCTTTATAAAATGGCATCTTGTATTGAGATTTGGCAAGTCTGGTTGTGTTTGCAGAGCAGGGAACACATCTTATTTTGTGAATCTACCAAATGAGGGTTGAAGCTACTTCACAATGTAAAGTTATGCTCTGAACTCAAACACTTTCCAACCTGAGGATACCAATTTTGGGGAGCCCAGCATCTGAGACCATATTACATAAATATGACTTTCTGTAAGCAACTGCCAATTGAAAACCAGTCTTTTTAAGGTGTTGCATTAAGCCAAGATACTCTGGTGTGCCTAAAGTAGCTTCAGATGCTACATTGCCAGTTTTCTTATCTGTTAAATAGTGGTGTCCTCCTGGGGGCTGTTCTGGAACCAGTCCCATTCAACATTTATAAATGATCTGGAAAAACAGGATAACTAGCGAGGTGCCAAAATGTGTGGGTGATACAAAATTACCCAAGACAGTAAAGTTCCAAGCAGACTCTTAAGAGCTACAAAAAGATCTCTCAAAACTGGATGACTTGGCAACCATATGGCAGATGAAATTTTAATGTTAAGAAATACAAAGTAATGTACATTGGGAAACATAATCCCAACTATATGTACAAATTGAGGGGGTCTAAATTAGCTGTTACCATTCAAGAAAGAGATCTTTATGGATAGTTCTCTGAAAGCATTCACTCAATGTGCAATGGCAGTCCAAAAAAACCAAACAAATAGAAAATTGGGAATCATTAAGAAAGGGATAGACAGTAAGCCTGAACATATATTGCCTCTGCAAATCCATGATTTTCTTCACATCTTGAATGCTTCATGCTGATTTTGTTGTCTCATCTAAAAAGATACATTGGAGTTGGAAAAGGTTCAAAAAAGGGCAACAATTATGAGCATGGAACTGCTTCCATGTGAAGAGAGATTAATAAGATTAGGACTTCTCATCTTGGAAAAGAGACTACTTAAGGGGATATAAAGGTATATAAAAATCATGACCAGTGTGAAGAAAGTAGAAATGGAAGTGCTAGTTACTCATTTTGTAACACAGGAACTAGGGATCACCAAATGAATAGGCAACAGGTTTTAAAACAAAAGGAAGCATTGCTTCACACAATGCACAATCAGTTTGTGAAGGCCAAAACACTTAACAGTGTTTAAAAAAAAAAAAGGTAGATAAATGCATAGAGGATAAGTCCATCAATTGCTGTTCGCTAGGATGGGCAGGGATGGGGTGTCTAGCTTCTGTAATGCCAGAAGCTGGGAATGAGCAATAAGCAATAATCACTTGATTGCCTTTTCTATCCATTCCCTCTGGGGCATCTGGTATTTGCTACTGTTGAGAAGACAGGATACCAGACTAGATGGACCTTTGTCCTGACCCATTATGGCCATTCTTTTGTAGTGGTGGTACAGTTGCATTACAGAAATATTTATATGTATGTGTGTGAAAGACCCTTGCAAACAAAGGGACAGTTAATATATTGATAAATTGAAAATGAGAACATTTGTCTGATCTCAGATCAGGTACAGTATTTTGATCAGTGGTTGTAACAATAATGTATGTGTTTGGGTGAGAGGTGTTTCCAACTAAAGTAATTGGGAGTTAGCTTCACTTTTTAAATTTGGGATTTCACAAAATTTTAAATTCCCAGACAGGCCTTCAATAACTTTTATCTCTCATTCGTAGTACTTCATGACCATGCTCTGTTCTCTTGCTGGGATTGCTTGGGTAGGACAGCAAGTTCATAATCTGTTCCTCACCTACCTTATTGGTAAGTGTTTATCTTTTGCAGAGTGGATGCAAACATTTTTCCCTCTTGGCTATCACATTCAGAAAAGTTCATACACTAAACTGCTAATTTGTTTGAAATTTACTCTTTTCTGATGTATCTAATTCTATCCCTATTTTCTGTAAAAGTAAAAGCAATATAAAGCACACTTAATGGGGTTCAGTGAGCATGTGGGACTATAGAGTGAAAGGAACTTTTGCTAACTAAATATATATTAAGTAATTTATGCTCCATCTGATTTCATTTTAGTGAGTTTTCTATTGCTGTTTCCTGGATTAAACCAACATGGAATCATTACAAAGTATGTTGGAATGGCAAAAAGGGAAATTAACAAACTTCTCAAGCAAAAGGAGAAGAAAAATGAATGAAGCATCACTGGCTAATTAATCTACAGCATAAGGTGTCCCTGGGAACAGTTTCTAGAATTTATGTATACTTAATGTTATAGAAGCAGTTATTTTGCTCCTTGGCTCTAATTTAAAATTGGGTCCCTATTCAGCAGAAATGCTATTCTTACAACAGCTGTATTTCATGTTTGCTCTGGTAGTGACATAGTTTTGTGTCCGACTGCTGATCGTATCTAGGAAAATCCTATTTTATACAATGAGAAGCAGCCCTGAACTTGGTATAAATGCCATACAAGTGGCAAGTCTCTTACGCACATACTAAAGCACAAGAATTGGCACTTTTGTAGTGTATGGATAGTATTCTCATCATGAAGTATCCCCTTTGCGAAGTTAGTAGTGCTTCCCCACCATCAATATGCTACTGATCAGTGGTGGCAGATAGTAGCAAAGTATGTGATTTAAGAACTAGTTAATTTGCATAGAGACTTCCGCTACTGATTCTAGTGGGAAGAGACCAATTACCATTCTTCATTCCCATTCAATTCATTCTGCGCAAGTGCCTGCAGAAATATGGCTGAAAGTGAATCTGTTGCCTAGCTAAAGTAATTTGTTTCTGTTGGCTAGCATAGTCAGTTGAATAAACCATGGATTATTTCTGACAAATAGGGCTCCTGAACACTTAAATTGTGAATTTAGTCACTAGCTGTAGTAATGTTACTGTCAATTCATTGCACTGAAACTATGTTGAAAGTGGACTAGGGTATAATTACCCTAACAGTCAATTATTTTGAAAACTGCTGTAATGGAGTCATGTAACCTGTCTGGTTTTATATATGTTGTCTGTTCATAGATGTAGTAGCTGTATCTGTCTCGTGTAAATAAGCCTCTTCTGAGCTATGACTTCAGTTTTTAAAAGCATACTTCTATTTCCTCAAGTAAAAAGCTGAAAGATGTGTTAACATATCAAGGCATCTTAAAAGTTGAACATTGTTTTAAAATGATCCCTGTCTTAACTGTAAAACAGGTAAATCATGTTACCTTTTAGTTTAAAATATAGACTTGAGAACTGTTTTGAAGAGTTGCTCTTTTGCACATCCCTGACATGTTCATGGTGAATCTAACCTTTTCCAGAGTGGAGATCTGACAGTACTTCCATCTTCAGCTAGGGATGTGAAGGACTAGTTGCTCTCTTCCCCCGCCTCTATCAGAAAGAGGCAGCAAGGCAGGGGAAAGAGGAGGGGGCACTTCAGAGGCAGTGCCATGTGGATCACAGGGTCTACCCCAGGCTCCATGCAGCGTTGCCGCTTTGAAATGCCACATGCAGCCCAGGGCCAGCTGGGGTGTACCCCAGGCTCCATGTGGCATTTCAAAACAGCTGTGCTACTGGAGCCTGAGATGAGCTGGGGATTCCCCTGCTGCCCAGGGCTCCCTGCCTTGCTTTTGCCTTTGAAGTGTAGCAACAGCTGTTGCTAAACTTTAAAGGCAGAGGTGCCTATTGACTAATTGAATAGTTGATGCAAAATGCATTGACTGTTTGATTAGTCAGTTACTCACAATTTACCATCCCTGTCTTCAACTTCTCGGATGTTGCCTTGTGCCCGTAGAAACTGTCTTAAAGAACAGTATTTCTCCTACTGAACTACTGCATTTATTGTAATGACTGCCTGAAAGATAGTAAACATTTTAATTTATTTTAAGAGTAAAGCTTGTCAGTATAACTGTTTGTTCATTCTGAGAAGTAGTGCTTAGTCTGCTAAGAAACCTAGAATGTCATAGAAGCAGAAGAGACTAATGTCTTTTCTCTGCAGCAAGTGGAATTCCTTCCACTATTGCTTCTCACAGCTTTCACAGCAGCAGCTGCTTATGACTGACCTAGATTAAATGTGTTGGGAAAGAGCATATCTGAAAGTAGCAAAGTAAGCCAAGCCAAACCAACAAAAAATACAAAGTTTATGGATTCTACAAAGTTTGACGTTGCTAGGGAAAATGAAGCCTTTGTTAATGTCTCAAGGCTGACATTTTAACTCATTTTGGATTCTTAGTGTCTCGTATAATGCTCAGTGTTGTAGAATTTTCTTTAGACTGCATAGCTGCAGAAAATTTTTAAAATGTAAACTGATGTATGATAACCAGCATCCCAGGGGAGCCAACTGAGGTGTCTGTTAGGGTACTCTGCAAGAAATGGGATAGCCAATTACCAAAGCAGATGGTTATTCTAATTTTTATTTTAAGTCAGCACAAAACAGCTTCTGTATTACCTTATTGGTTAGAAGTCCAAACAATGCATTTACTTTAAAATACCCAGACACCCTACCTAGAGTACTACCAATTCTAAAAGATTAGATGAATTACCATTCAGGTCGGTAATATTTCAGACCTTATCCCCAAATCTGTGTTCAATGACCTCATGATGGGTTGCATCCTTACAGGGTTAGAAAGATTATCCCTATGTTAGGCAGCCCATCCTCCAGTGGGACCGTAACTTGATGCTGTCCAAACTAGGGATGTCAACGTGTAGTCTAGCACACGATTATTATCAGTTAATACTGATGACTACACACAATTCTTCCCCTCTCCCTCCCGGAAGTAGGAGCTGGTTCCTGTGTAAGCACGTGGGAAGCCAGCTTATAAGCAGGCTCCCCATCCATGCTGGTTCCACTGACTCGCTTGCCACTGCCCCCCACGGGATTGAGGGGGACAGAAAGGAGTCAGTGGCAGGGGGAATGGCTTAAAAGGCAGGGGAGGCTGCGGCAGTGGCCCCCGTCTACAGTGGTTCTGAGCTTCCTGCAGACAGAGGCTGTCTCTGCATCCTAGTGAGAAACCTCTCTCTCTAGCGAGCCTGGGTCCCCTATGGAGGGGGCTGCTGCCATGGACCAGCCTCTGTCTGTGGGGAGCTTGGACCCCCTGCAGGCAGAGGCTGCTGCCACCCTGCACAGCTGCCTGAGGCAGCACAGTGTGGCAGGCAGCTGATCTGCATGGGGAGCTGGCTTTTAAAATGGCTCCCCTGCCAGACCAGCATACGGACCTCTGATACAACAGCGCACAGTTAAACCGAGGAGTGGGGCTGGGAGTGAACTGGCAGCTAACCCTGCCCTGGGGACTATTGAATAGTCTTAGTAAATGCTAAGATTTCATGTTACGTGACTATTCAGCTACATGATATCTAACATCTCTTGTTCAAACTAATAGGCCCACTGTTCAAACCCTTGGCCATTTGCCCCTCTCCTTCTTTTCTGGAAAGTGGCCTTTTGTGGTGGTGATAACATCAGCCAGAAGGGTCTCTGAGCTTAGGGCATTCATTGTTGAGCTCCTGTACATGGTGGACTGTAAAGATG